TTGTTATGGTGATGGGATACGTGTTCTTCTGGAATGCATTTGTGTGAAACCCCCACACTTTCAAAAGTGTTTAATTATCAATTTTCATTCAAAATACCAACAAATAGTCGTACCTTCTATGAGGAAAACATCTCAGCAGAGCAGGAACTTGTAAGTGTATTGAAGAATGTATTAGGGGCAAGTTAGTCTCAGCTCGATTCAATGATTGTGCTTACTCTAGGTCGATGGCAGCAAACTAGAGACTTTCAAGCTTTGTTATCAGGTTACAACATTCTTGAGTAGTTGCCTATGTGGTGTTGGAGTTGCTCTACATAATCAACCAAATTTGATACCAGTTGTTGTAGCGGAAATGCAAAATAAACAATGTTGTTCAAGGAATAAACAAGCAATCACAAAGAATAAAAAAATCACACACAATAATACAAGATATACATGGTTCACTCAAATCTTAGGGCTACATCTATGGAGCACACCGAACAAATTCACTATGAAGAAGATGCAGAATTACAATGGAGAATTTTCTCTCAATCTCTCTCAATTGTTTTCTCTTGTATTGGCACAAATTAATCAATCACACAACATGTATGATGATTTTCTCTTTCTTCTTCTCTCTATTTTTATCACACCCTAAGAACTAATTAGGGTTGATATTTATAGCCCCAAATAATTTGTCCTACAAGAAATTAGCTTTTGTAAAATCCAAAACCAATAAGGAAGTTAAATCATATCAGGAAACTAAATTTTCCCTAAACCAATAAGAAAGTTAAATTAGATCAGGAAACTGAATTTTTCCTAAACTTCAGCAGTCTTGAAGTTTCCATATAATTAAATCTTCCTAAAAAAATAATTACCTAATTAGACTCCACAAAACCACAACAAATGGGTATTCCCTCTTCTCTCCCTTCTGTTTTGCTTTGCTATGTTGTTGCCCAACTTTTCAAAAGTTGGCGAAGCAACGGAGGTGGATGGTGGGTAGGCTATCTTTTGGGTGCCCTCTTTGGGCTGTTGTTTTGGGCTTTGGCCCCTCCTCTTATATAGTTTGTTTTTGCTTATTAATACATTGAATTGTTGATTACAAAATCTTACTTTAATATATGTATTATATATAGATAATTTATTTACTATTAAAGGTTTAATCCAAGTGGTACCACATGAAAGGGAGAGTTGTGATTTCACTAATGTTTGTATAAGAATTTTGTTATCTTACAGTAACTGGAAAATGAAAAAAGAAAAGAAAATGAATATTATAAAAATCATTTTCTGACAAATATATATGAACTTAAAATCCTTATTCTAGATCTTAGAATCTTACGATTCTACGATCCTAAATTGCCAAATAATTTCGATCCCATATAAAATCTATGAGAAGTAGAAGTGCTCAATACGATCTGTAGAATCGGAAGTAGGATCGTAGAATCTCATAGAATCTTACAATCTTATCGATTATACTAAAATGTGTTATTTTGTTCTTCTTTCAAATTTATTTGGCCTCCAATTAATTTTGAACTAATAAATTTAAAAATTTTAAATATAAAGTACAACTCTTTAACCCAGTTACATTAAAAAAGTAAAATAAAAAATAAAGAAACAAATATCAAATCTAGAGATGATCTCTGAATTTCAAATGTATTGTTTAAAAATTTCAAAATTTCCTCTATTTTTTTTTTTTTTATTCTTCTTAATTTTTTTTTTTTTTTTTTTTAATTACAATGAACATAAAAAATTCTATTTTTCCACCTATTCTTTGTCAATTCTGAAACAAAAATAAAGAAAGACTTCATTTTTTTTTCCGTTGTTCTTTCTATCTCTATTTTGTTCCTTTTTTAACCAAAAAGTAGACTTTTCAACTAAATTGCTCAAACAATTAGGCAAATAAATTGTACTTTTCTCTCTATACTCGGCTTTACTTTAATTTCTTCTTTATTATTGTACATGATTGTTATGCTGCTTTTTTGTTGAAATCAAGAAATTGATATTTAGCATTTGTCATGTATCTTAGTACTTTTAAAGTTAATTAATTTTGTTGGAGTATCTGAATTGGTTATTTAGCCTTATTCTCTATTTATATAGAAAATGATTGATTTAGAAAGTTAGTTTGAGTTATTTTTCTAATAATTTCATAGAATCTTACGATCCTCGATTCGATCCTACAATTCCGATTCTATGAATCCCTCATCTATCCTACGTAGAATCCCGATTCTAACAATCTTGGTACAAAATATGTAAAAGTGTTGAATTCATTTTTTAATATATAAAATTAAGTGTTGAATTCTTGATTTAATAAAATTGTAATGTTGCATCTTGATTGAATTCGTGCATCAGTATGTTGAATTCTTTATATATATATAATTAAAAGTTTTAAAATCTTGATTTAATAAAATTGTATTTTTTTTTTATTAACCTGGGGTGTCCGGGATGGCACGAACTCTTAGAGCCCCTCAATAACCCGACTAATCCCCGAGGATCCGGAAGAGCACCTCCCCACCGGGGCCGGATAAGTCACTGCAGGGGCAGCGAAAGCTAGCCACAAAGAATACCCAGTGGAACTCAAACCTAGACTTTGGACTTGCTAAGCTCTAAAGTACAACGAGTAAATCGTTGAGCCATATCCGAAGTGGATATAAAATTGTAATGTTGCATCTTGATTTAATTAGTGCATCAGTGTTACATCTTTGAAGTATGAGTGTTTTACGAGTTTTTACATCAGTAGCATGGGAGAGTAGCATTTTCTACACAATGTGCTGAGTTTTCAAAATAAAATGCACTCGTCTAGAGAAAATGGTTGCATAAAAGATTGAGAAAAGATAAAAAGGAAAAACTGAAGCTACGAAATATTTGGATTTTTTTCTAATAAAGAGAAGCCTAGTTTGCTCCTGCACACGCAGGCATGAAGTGGTTAGAAAACGTCAATTGTTGGTGGTGGACATGATTACTTTTAAATGTTCGACAATCTCCAACCCTTATTTTCTCCCTCAAAACTCTCGTTTGGACCTAAATTTCCCTTCTAAATGAAATGCCCAACTCTCATGTCTTCCAAAATTCAAGGATCCCTCCTTCCCCTATTATCCAGCATCATTTTTCTTCTTCGTTTCACAAGTGTATTACCCAGTATGGAAGACAAAATGGTATCTCTCTCCTTGTCTTTATTTTGTTTGATTGAGAAAAAAATGGTGGAGATTTTTTTAAACATATTATCACCGTCCTTTTTTTATTGAGGGTATGATCTAAAGTTCTCTATTTGCGGACATCATGATGAAATTCATATGATTTTTTTCCTTTTTTCTTCAAAATAATGCTTTTATTCCCCTTACATCGATTGAATTTCTCATGTCGAGTTAAATCCACATTTCTTATTTGTAGGAAGTACATCCTTGGTTTTTTTTTTTTTTTTGGGGGGGGGGGGGGGGGGGGTAAATAAAAGTATATACTAGAAATTGTTTAAAAAGAATTTATATTTTGTTTGCAGTGCACTAGAAAATATACCGACTTGTAACTTTCAAAAGCATAGGACAACAAAAAGCTATTGCTCTTATTTCTGATATTAAGGTAAGGACTTGGGTTGGTTTTTGCTTGATTTTGATGTTATATATGCAACGTATGGGATATTTTAGGTATGGTTTGAAAATCAATGAAATGCAAAATTTCTTGGCTGTTAGTGACATTGATTTGAAATATTTTTTACATCGATGATTTTTTTTTTTTTTTTTTTTACATTGATTGGATGAATAGTTAGTAATATTGTTCCGTTCTGAACTTTTGATTTATGGCTTTCATGACATGAAAATATTGGATGTAGTTATCCCATCTGTTAGTATTCCACCATTTCAAACAGTTGGATGGGATTAATAATTTGTGGGTGACTCCGTGACTTGGTAATTATGTGACTTGGTAATTAATGTAAGCCTTGCTTTTAATTTATTTGCCATTGAGTCGGATTGTACAATTAATGCTAACAACAATATTCTGATTTCGGAGCTTATTTTAGGCATATTAGATGATCAGATATGATAACTATATTGGTTTGAATGGTTTGATTGAACTTTTTTCCTTTTTCTTGTGTATTTGTTTAGGAATATATGAATTGATTAATGATATAGCTACTTACTACATACAAGTGCAGACTAAGTGCACACACTCACTTTAAATTGCTGGTCAAGCTAGTTTCAATAGTTTGATGAAGTGTGTTTTTTTTTTTTTTTTTTTTACTTGAATGGGTAAGCTTGTTTGGGGAAGTTCGTCATGAAGTTTTTTTCCCTGATGTTATAAGAATTTCCATCATTATTCCTTAACGTTCCTCTTCTTCCCCTCCTCTTTTAATGTTCTTTAGTTACTAACATATGGTCTAGAGCTAGCAGATTTTATAGAACTTTTTTGTCTCCATGGCTTGATTGTCTTTGCAGTTTTCCAGTAATAAGTAATAACACGAGCATGTTATTATGTTGTTTTTAGTGGGTTATTTACATGAATTTGTTTTTTTAATTTCCATTTTGATTTTGACAGTATCCTCATAAATTCATGATTTATCCTTCGTTATGTATTTTGCCAGGTTCAAAATTTCTTGCTTTATGTTGTTTATATACATTTGCATTTGTATATACACAGATGCATATATATATATATATATGTGTGTGTGTGTATATTCCAGAAAATCCTGGAACTTCTCATGATGTGCTTTTATATAGAATGATGAGCAAAACTGTAGAATAATTTCTCTAGATTTGGTTTTGTCACGAGAGAATGAAATTGGGATTTAGTACTATGTATGTGTATATATTCCGGATAATTCTGGAAGCTCTTTTCCTATATTTTTCTCATCATGTGTTTTTCTGTAATAATGATGAGCAATACAGTTGAAATAATTTCTCTAGATTTGATTTTGTCATGAGAGAAGAAATTGGAATTTATTAACTTTTTTGCAAATTTCTTCATTCTTTTAGGTAAAAAAATAATAATAAAGAACAAATTTTGCACAAGTGCCACAAGAGAGAGAAAGGGAGGCAATGGCAAGCAATTTTGGCAATTGTCTTGTATCAGAAGATGTGACAATTGAGATTCTATCAAGACTCTGTGTGAAATCGTTGATGCGATTTAGTTGTGTTTGCAAATATTGGTACACTCTCGCAAGAAATTCTACCTTTATTAGCAAGCACCTCCACCATCATAAGAAAAATCCACGTCTCCTTGTTCAGTACTACAACTATAAGACTGAAAAATATGTTTATACTTTATTCCCAGATGAAACGCTTTCCAGTGTACCCCATGCATATGATGATATGAATGATCTTGAGGTTCCCCGCATTCCGGCTGCTGTTTTAGGACCCTGTGATGGCCTTGTCTGTCTATTTTATCGTTCAAAACCCCATCCCCATCACATGGCTTTGTGGAACCCGGCTACCAAAGAATTCAGCTCCCTCCCTTTACCAAATCCAAACTATCCTTCACATTTTAACGACTTCATACATTTGTTTGGGTTTGGGTTAGATCCTCTAACAAATGATTATAAGGTGGTTTGGATGCGGAATTACTGGGACGATGAATTAGATTATCTTTACCTTCCTAATGTTGTTTCAGTGTACACCCGATACACTGATTCTTGGAGACACTTCGAATTTGAGAATATCATAACTTGTTCCATAGAAAATTCTTTGTGTAACACATATACGAATGGATTTTATTATTGGCTATGCGAAACCGATCTTCGTAATTATAAGCTCCTCTCATTTGATATGAGAACCGACAACTTTAAAGAAGAGATACCAACACCGCCAAATCTTTGTAACTCCATACTATTGGGTAATCTTACGATGTACAATGACCATATTGCTATGTTTCTTTATGATTATAATTATGACATGGTTGAGCAATATATTTATACATGGGTGATGGAAGGGGAGGGTTCTTGGACTAAACATTTAGCTATTGGACCTCTTTACAAAATTCACAGGCCTCTTGGCATCTGGGAAAACGGTGATCTTTTTATAGAATCTGAAACTGAACATTTGCTTTTGTATGACCATAGTACTGAAGAATTTAAAAACTTAGGACCTCGTGGAAAAGAGAGTTGCCTTCAGACTTTTACCTTCCAAGAAAGTCTGGTTTCACTTAAAGGAGGAAATGCATGCGAGGAGAGGAATAATTATTTCTTTTTGGATCGAGTGCAAGACTTTTTTACATTTCCTCTCACATGGGGACCATTTACGGCTGAAGAAATTTAGTGTTTCCATCATGTATGTATTATCCTTCATTAATTGGCTCTAGTGGAACGACAATGAGTAAGGAAAAAGAAGGAAATTAGGAAATGTCACTTGTGGATGCGCATATTTACTTTATTTTTATATTTGTGTATTTTTCTTTTTATTTATTTATTTTTGGAAATTAAGCAATTGTAAAGAACTCAAAACACAATCTACTTCTTACCAGGCAATTTATCCCGTATAGATTTTTTCAACACAAACCCCAATTCCACCAATCAAAAAGGAGACAAAAAGCAAAAACAGTCTCTAAAAAATCTGACAGTGAATACCAGCGTCACAATGGGCACCCAGAATCTAACATAAGAGCTCTCTATAGAACCAGCCCACCGTCTAACCGACGATGCAAGACCATGACCAAAAGGGAGAAAGTATACAATACTTATTTTATACTTATTATCCCCATTTAATGTACAATTATGTTAAAGACTCCCAATTTCTCATATATTAAGGTAAATTGGGAGGTTTTATGACTCTGTAAGTACCACCAATAGGGCAATGGGCATAACAAGGCACCAAAATATTTGTCTAAATAAAAATGATCTAGAATTGGAGAAATTCTACAATACCTCGGGGTATTTTGACAAGTGATCCTCCCAATCAAATTATGTCTATTTTGAAACTCTCCACTTTTCTATTTTCTAAAAAAAAAGCTTTGATTGGAAGAAGTACCATTTGTTGAAATATTCCCAAAGTATTATAGAGTCAGACGGGAGAAGGTATTGGGTGTGTCCGGACAAACGTGCACCAGGCTCAACCAAACCGTACCTGTTATGCACGCACGGGCGTGTGTTGTGTACGTACAGCTCAAATAAGCCGATGCATCGTAGACTCAGCGCACCTAATATGTATTCTTAGGACAGGGACATTGGTGATGTCCACGCACCATAAACATAATCTAAAATTAGAACTTTATGATTTATACATATTTGTAATATATAAATTTTGAAAAAAATAAAAATAAAAATATCTGTAAATTAAAATTCCATCTATAATTGTATGCAAATAGGGGCTTGAATGCTGGTCTTCTGAAGCCTCTGATCAATCGATGATTTACTCAGTTCGATTGATTGTCTGACTGCATCTGTCAATTGAAATGGATGAAGGCTCAATCGATTGATGTTATAGAAAGTTCGATTGATGATCGATCCTCCAACTTTCTATTTTTGGCTCATTTTTAGTTAAGATCGAACCAAGTATTTTGTACTCCATTCTACACATTAGAATACTTCATGAAGGTTCTAGTAAAGGTTTTCTTGATGCATGGTAAAAATGCATCTAAGGCAACTTAAACCTTAACAAAATAAGCATGAATTCATATATGAAAAATAAATAAATAAATAAATAAATGTGTTATTGTGGCTCAAGGACATGCCTAGTTTAGAAAACTTAATAACATAGCAAATATTATTCGATGCAATACAAAAACCTTCTACCCAAATTATATATATATATATATATATATATGTGCAGATATATACATGTCATATATATTTAAGAGACAGTTCTAGAATCTTAATCTCAATATATATGATATATATTTTTGTGAAAAATATTTTTCCTAAATTTGTAAAACAAATGAATAAACTTATAGGTTTTACCATGCAACAAAAACATATGAACATGAATAAGGTGTATGCATGTACCTAGATGGTGATTGATGAAATCAAGTGTGATTACTTGAGAAGATTACATATTTGCACTTTGAAGATGTGTTTTGCCCTTTGTAGTAAATATTGGACCTTTTTACCCTTTTGATATAAAATTCTTCAGCAAGCTTTATTTTCACACTCATCTCATCAAACTAATCTATTTCTATTTCACTACAAAACATTTAAACATTAAATTACAACGAGTGAGTTTTGTTCTACGAATTTTGCCTACTACATTAATAGAATCCTAAAGATCATAACATGTAGTACATAAATATTAATAATATAAAAGCATTAACACTATAAGGACACCTTAAACATAAGAAAACCTATTAGTATAATAAAATATATCGCAATGAGGAAACTGTTATAAATTTTATGAAATAAAAAAACTGTCCTACATCTTAAGAGGAGCTGATTTTCCAAGACCCCATATGTCATGCTATCGTGTGCGTGAGATGTAAAATTGTAATTGACAAATTTTGGTATCAAAACGTGTCCAATCCAGTTATAATTTTCTATTTACTCTCGAGTCTTGATGGTAGAAGCGGAACTACCAGTGTTGTAATGTGCAAGCATACTTCAGATCAATGAGAACATCATTTAGAATAGGTATGTGAGTGAGGAACAATTGCGAGTATTTTTAGAATTGAGTATGAGAGCTTAGAATGGAAATGGCATTCGACAAAGTCCAACCGGTTGCACTTCACTTTAGAACCGGTTGCATTTTCTTAGCAAAAATAGCTCTCTGGATTTTTCCAACTAGTTGTTTTTTCAGGTAGAACTGGTTGCACTTTCCAACCGGTTACACTTTGAAGTTGAACCGGTTGCATTTACCTGAATGTGTGAAAAATTAATTTTTGGTAATTTTTTAATTTCATGTTTTTACCCAAACTTGTAGAGCAATCCTTACACAATTTGAAAGCTATTTTTACCTATTGTAAGGATTCTCTAAGTCTGTATAAACTCTCTTTCTCTCACCATTAATTAAGGTTTTAAAGATAAAAATATTTTGGCTATTGAGAACTTTCTAAGAATATTTTTTTTATAGAAAATCATCCTTGATTTTTTCGTATATTTTTATATATTTGAGAGCACACACTATAACACTTGAGTGGTCTTAGGGTGGTGTTCTATATCTGATCGGAGACTGAATCATTGAAGATCCATTGATATCGTTTAGAAAAAAAGTAGAAGTTCGTTTTATTTTCAACAAATCTGATTTAAAGAAAAGGTGTGGAGCGATCACACTTTGAAGGGGTCAAAGTATTCGTGGAGTGTTGTTTAATCTACCGACAATTATCTACAAAGATCAAGAGTAAACCTGAGGTCAAGAGCTGTTGGACGGGAGAGTGGCAAAGTCAGGGATTGTTAGCAATTGGTTTTTAGTAAAATGATAGGGCATGAGCCTGAGTCAGAGTCGAATTTCACACGTGTATTATTATTTTAAGCTTAGCAACTCCTTTTTTTATGTGATTTAGGGATTTTATCTAATTTTTTTTAATGTGATATAGGCATTTAATTTAATTACTCTTTAATTCTATACATTTTTAGATATTATTTTCTATTTATTGAGATTGTGCTAATATGCTTTATTTATTTTTTTAATGCAAATAAAGAAAACTCTGTGAGTGAATTGGTGAGTAAAATTATTAACGAAACAAAAGTAAAATTGAAAATATATTATGTAAAATAATTGGAATTCACAAGTTAGAGAGAAAACTAAAATAGTACTAGTGTCTGTGTAAATCTGCTATACATTACATTTATATATATTAGTAGAGAAATTTTATGCTCCGTTTGGTAGGAAGGAAGAAAGAGGTGCGGAGGTAAAATAGAAAGAAAGAAACAAACTTTGTTCGTTTGATGGAGAGTAGGGATGGCAATTTTCCTGGACCCAGCGGATCTCCGCCCTGCCCCTAATGAGATGGATTTGGTAGCCCCTTAAATGTGTTTGGAACGGGTATGGTAAAATAATTGAAAATGGGGCAAAGGTGAATTTAGTGATGAACCCACCCCGACCCCACCCCTATTATATATGTACTTTTGAATTTATATAATATATATATATATATATGTATAAAATATTTTTAAGACATTGTTACTTTTCTGGGAATGTTAGTTAATATACTAATACTCAATACTTAGTAATTTAAAATTTGGGTCAATTATCCCAATTTAAGTATATACATTGGGCTAGTTTTTTTTCCTTACATAATAAAAATGACATAACTCGCCCCGCACTACAATTAAACAGAGTACACGGGGTGGAGTCAGTATTTTTTATACTGAAGTAGGGACGAGAATGATATACCAATTATAAACCCGTTCCGGAGTAGGAGTGGAATTGGTATGATAGATTTTTTAACAATGTGAAGTAGGGTTTTAGCAAAGCCCACCCCATGCTCCGCCCCATTGCCATCCCTAATGGAAAGGAGGCAATGAGAGAAGAGAAAAGAGGATGGATGCATATATATGGGTCATCCTTCCTCCTTGACAAATTTTAATCTACTATGAACAAAAGGTACAATGGAGGAAAAGCAAGGCTTATAAATATTTTTAAATTACAAAACTTTTCTTATATTTAACACTTTCTCATTTCTTCTCTCATAACAAACAAAACATTGTATCATCTTAATCTCTTATTTTCCATCCAACCAAATAAAAGAAACAGAAGGACACAATCTATTTCCTAAGGATGTTTCATTCATCTCTTCTTCTCTTGCTTCCATCCAAATTTCTTCATTCTTACTAAACGGGGCATTAGAAATACAATGAATTCTAAAACGAATCATATTTGGCACCATCTCACAAATTAAAGAAAAAAAATAAAAATCTAATTATTATAATAAGATTACTATAAAATAATTTAGTTAAATATGAGTTTGATTCGATCACTAATAAATTTTTTTGAAAATTTTGATTATCTAGCTTCCTATAACACTGAAAAATTAAAAAGAGAACTGCAATAAACAACAGAAATTTGCCGAAAAATGGCCTACTTGATGAGTGTTAATCGTTGCCAATTTTGATCGGGTCTTTGTTGACTAATTATTTCCTAATAATTTAACATCCTATATATTCATCAAAAAAAATATATTTTATATATTCATTGTTCCCTGTTGAAACATATTCCTAATTTTGTCTGTAGGGAGAATTATAAGTTGCAATGGCTGCAACACTGACGTGGTATAACCGACTGCCACAAACAATCCACCAAAAAGTTTATTCATTTACTTTAGTGAATTGTTTGTGGCCGTCAGTTGTACCATGCCAGCATTGCAACCATTGCAAAGTATAATTTCTCATCCA